CTCCTCCTCCTCCTCCTCCTCCTCCTCCCCCCTCGCCCTCCTGAAGTTTTTTTCAAAGCTTTTTGCAGTGGTCGAACGTTGCTTCTCAGACATTTCGACAACAAAGCACCCTGTTTCTTGCCGTTCTGCCTGCCTGAGTTGTTTTAGTTCCAAGTCAGGTTTCGATATCCTGTACCCATCTTCTGTATAAATGTCTCCCACTTTCTCTTCTGCATTCTACCTTCGCGCCTAGAATAATACTATGTTATCTCCACTCCCTCTTTTCTTTGTATGTTACTCTCTACTAACAACTCTAATCTTCGCCGGTTATATAGCCTATTTGTGTTGCAAGTTTAGTTTTTACAATTTTTAGTGAGAGTTTTGCGGCACATGCAATACGATAAGGTCGTATATGTTTCGAACAAGAGAGTTACTACATAATTAATAATAGGGGAGTAACGAACTCAAATATGAAGGAAGAGAGATTATAAGGACGATAGATACGTGATAGAAAAGACGGAGCAAACCACGCTAGAGCTAGCACCAAAGTGCCGTGAAAATCTTACTACCCTATCCGTTCGCCCTGGGGTCATTTTGTACCCCCGGGGTTGTATTCTTCACATTTTAGAATACATCTAGTAGGAAGATCTCTTTGAAACTTTCAGTATTTCTCCAAAAATCATTTTGGCAGTCTGCTATACAAAGGGTACGGATCGGATTTACAAGTAAATTTCCTCTTTGGAAAGTGGTGGTACAGAGTTCCCCACGTCGTATGGATATGATAGTAAAAGACGACGTACCGATAGGGGTAAAGAAAACAAACAAACAAAACAACAGATATGTGATAGGAAAGAAGGAGCAAACCACACTAGAGCACCAAAGTGCTGTAACACTCTTACTTAATATGAAAGTAAATAAAAAAAACACAATAAAAAACAACAACAACAACAAAACAACCCCCCCCCCCAAGAAAAACAACCCAACTAAGCACAAAAACAAAAACAAACAATTAAACAAATAAAAAAACCTCCTACCATGAAGGGGGAGTAAGGTCGCTCCAGCAGCTTGTCACACTCCTGCTCCACAACGGACTGGGGCACGTTACAGTCTGTGTTGTTGGGCGGTGGGGTGTTGGAGCAGTCGACGGGACACGCCGCGCCGGTGTCCTCGATCACCCACGAGCGGCCGAACTGGTCGTAGTTGTCCGTCTGTGGGAGGCAGTGGTCAAGTCAGGGAGGATGGAGGATGGAGGATGGAGGATGGAGGATGGAGGGAGGAGGGTGGAGGGGGGGGGTGTTGATTTAGTTTGTG